TGAATTCACTGCCAAGCCATGATCATTTGGCGGAGGAAGTAGACTGAAAGCGAAATGAAACTGAAAAATTATTTGTGAACGAATTGCTAATTAAAAAAGAATCTTTTGCAATATTATAGTGAACGGGAAATTTAGGACATTTCCCTGAAGCTGCTGAGATTGGCTTGCCCTACAGAACAGGATTCTGCTCCAATATCAGCATTTACTGAGCCCACAGTTAAATCTTCCAGCGCATGATTTAAACACACAAACATTGTACCCATTTAGTCATCGCGCGAAAAGGTATACCTACTAAAACCACACTCTGATAGATAACCAGTAAGAAATGATACTACTAACCACCTTGTAGATACGTAGTTCGAACATTTGAATACAAAAATTTATTAACCGTCGACAATTACCGTGTCAAGTTTCGCGAGGAGTTGGGTTGATGTTCCAAAGCGTTTAAAAAACTAGATTAATTAATCGTGTTGTTGACGAGGTTTCGTTTTCATATGTAATCAAGAAATCGTAGTCATCGTGATTCTGGTGTTGAAAATTTCACTTTTGTTGACACGTTTTCCCAATTTCTCTGCTATTTATATGTTTAGGTGGGACCCGTGAGCGAGCAGGAACCTATGCTCCGATCGGCTACCTAAGAGTGCAAAATGTGTTTTCTTTCGATTCCCACTCCAAAGATTCAATTGAAGCAGATAAATTCGTATCCACAAGCGGACATGTATCATTCTTTTTATTCAAGAGTATTGATTGTAAATGTGAATGAAATACAATTTTTAAATAGGAGCATCGAAAACAGAGATTCCCTGCACCGAAACTCAGCTCGCCGGAAAACAATTCAATTTCGGACATTGTAATACAAAAACATTACAAACATTTCCTTAAAAAAGAATTGAATTCAGTTTTAGGTAAAAAATTTTTTAATGTTTTTAAAAAAAGCCTACATGGAAAGTAAAATTGTCATGTTGATAAATCCGGCTGTAATGACGACATTGATACCTTTATATGTGAAGATATAAATGGTACATTTACAGCGTGCGGTGGAGATGTCAATTTTAGAAAACGGAAAAAATTCCGGTGTTTCACCGACAATCATATTACCGTTATTATTACTATATATCGCGAATGTTACGATGTCAAAAGTAACGTACGGATAGTGTATTTTTTATTCAACCTCGAGCTTTGTTTCAAACTTCGTTTGTTTTCGAGAGATAATAGCTGGTTTTGATATTGACGAGAGCTATAATTATATACAGCACGTTATCTAGCTTTGTCACATGCTCACCACGCGCTACTGCCGCATAATCATCACGCATAGTTAAACATTTAACTCCCGTGATCTAATATTAATTCTCCCCTCTAGCTGCTTCATGTTTTCTTTCAAAGTAGGTACGAAAACTTGGTGTTAACCAAAAATAACCAATTCTGCCAGATAAAACTTTGAGTATTCTCATTGCCTATTTCCTGGATAATGTAATCATATTACAGGGATAAGTTTAACAATTGGTTCATACGTCAGCGTGCGTTCATCGAGATATGAAGCACGCGGGAAGTTTGGAGAGCACGAAAGATGCGCAAGAGTTGCTCGAGGCGTAGCCGAGAGCAACTCTAGCTTCTTGAGTGCTCTCCAAACTTCCCAAGTGCTTCATATCTCGATGAACGCACAGCTGATGTATGAACTAATTGTTTTATAACATTTTCAACCCGAAGGAAATTTTTTTTCTTGAGGGATTTGTTTGCTGACGTCATGAGCGTGCACAATTGGAATATGAAGCACGCTCGCCCAATTGAATTTGATTAGACAAATTTACTAGCTATGTTATAATACAAGTTATATCCCTTCTAAGAGTTTAAGGGTTTAAGAAATTGCATCGCGTGCAGACTATTTAACCACGAGGCAAATGAGAGAAACCAATGAAATTTATAAGTGTATGTAAGTGAAATACTTTCACGTCTGAGAACAATAACCCGAGAAAATTCGACTGAAATTAAATTTAATTGTTGTCAGCTGCACGAAAATTAAGTTTACGACCTTTGTTTATAAATAAAATGAACTCTTAACAGCTCTAATCAGTTGCAGAATGAAGATTGATTTGTACCTGTTAAACTGTCATCCTCTGAATCCCTCTATTCTCCAAATGATATCATTTGCTAATTCTACATGCCTGAAAATATCAAATATATTATTTTGTTTTACAACAATTTCGATGAAAAAATGAAGGTAACATATTCACGAGTGTGAAAGATTTAACCTCCTCTAATGCCCAGTTTCGTGATCAAAATTGCTGTTCTTCTTTAAGAAAATTATTGCGCTTGTTTTTTCAATTCTTTTTATGATTATTACTTGTTATAATCCAGCGAAATCACTAGAGGGAGATACAAAGCTAAAGAAATCACATCAACAATATGTAATCTTTATATTTACTTTTTTTTCCAATTTTCCCGTCTTTCGATTATAATATGCCACATATTTCTTCATTAGCTTTCCTCACCTCAAGAATACCTGCAATGAACTTAACTCCAAACAAGTTCTTTTCCAAGAAAAATGCTTGACTTCTCGTTGTATGTAGAGAAAAGCTTATTTAAATCGTTTCGCGTCTTGGAAAGAATTAAAGCGAATACCATAAGTGCTCTTCTTAAAGAAATATCCGAGGAAGATATTCAAAATTTGTTAAATCTATGTGCTCCATGCATCTTTGTGTAAAGAAACCCTCAGTGTATCTTACAGGAATTTTATGAATAAACTGTTACTGAACCAGTTGTCTTAAAGTTGGAGGAGAAATCTGTGGCCCTCTGTCTCTTTGATCTCCAGAAATGTCTCCTGAGTTTGGATGTAGCAAGCGAAACCATAAATAATTGTATAACAGTTCGTACAGACAAGTGACGTACTTGATGCTGGAATCAGAAATGCCGCAGCTTCGTAAATCCCTCATGGGCAGATAAATAAGCTACCTCAAGGTCTGGTATGTTTATCTACATGTCAGCATTGATATTTAATCTGTCGTTTAACCTGATCTGACGGATGGGGTTTTTTTTTTCGGTCGTCGGTTAAAAATGATTTTTTCCTTTGTCACGAAAGAGCCTAAAATTTCCTTTCTATCATTATCATCATCATCTTTTATTTCACTTATTTACATAATAGAAAAAATTTATTTACAGCAGTTATAGCTAGAAGGCGAAGAGACCCAGGAAGCCACCGGGCTTATGGGAGAGCCACCTCACTTACATTAATAAATAAAGTAAAGAAAAAGTGCTGCAAATGTGTGGCTAGGCCAATTCAGTGATTATTTAAGTAAAAACTCTTGCATTTTCGTCCTAAAACTAAGAAGGTTTGATGAACGAGTGACTGAAACAGGAAGAGAGTTCCAAATTTTAGGACCTTGGTAGAGAATTGTAAATTGCATGAGATTTGTACGGCACAAATCCGTTCGATAATTACTGGCTGTTCTGGTACCATAATTGTGAATTTGGCTATTCCTTACAAAAAGATTGAGAATCAATGGAGGCAATAAGTTATTTCTATAATAAAACATGAATTTGGCGATTTCAAACGTATTGACTTGGAAAATATCTAAAATTACTAGTTTGGAGAATAAAGGTGCGGAATGGGCTCGATAGTCTGAGTTGGTGATAGCCCGCACAGCTCGCTTTTGCAAGTAATAAATTCTATTTAAGTTAGATACGTATGTGGACGACCAGGCGCAGTTACAAAGACGATATAAGGATAAATTAAGGTGAAGTACAAAGTGAGTTTGGTTGTAGAGGATAGGAAAAAGCGAGACCTGGATATAATACCCATTGATTTAGCGATTTGTTTACATACATAGGTGATATGGTGTTTCCAGGTGAGATGATGATCAATATAGACCCCAAGGAATTTAGTTATGTTAGATTGTTAAAGGAGTTTACCTCCAAAGGAGAGAAAAATGCTGGAGTTAAATTTCATCTGTCTGGGTTTAAAAATTACGTAGTTAGTTTTCTTTATATTAACTGAAAGCTTATTGCATTTTTGCCAAACATCAATATTTTGGAGTTCATCATTAAGTACGGATTCTAAGCAATTTGGGTTTGAGTGAGAATAAAAGATACTGGTGTCATCAGCGAAAAGCAGAGGGTCTGTTAATTCAGAGGCATTAGGGAGGTCATTTATGTACAAAATGAACAATAGAGGGCCTAAAATCGAACCTTGAGGGTCACCACACTTGATGGTTTGCATTGGCGAGCAAGCTTGATTGAATTGGACAAATTGCTGGCGGCAAGAAAAGTAGCTTTTAAACCACTGCAGAGCCACGTCACGGATGCCATAGTGCTCAAATTTGGCAAACAAGATTTGATGGTCGAGATTGTCAAGTTATGACAGTGTCAAACAAGATTTGATGGTCGAGAGTGTCAAATCATCTAATTTAATACATGAAACTTTCGACATTGATGATCTAAGCAGTATGCATGATGATCCTTTATGTATCCACTGTATGTCATGGCTCATTAACAAGAAATCTATAGCTTTATGTGAGAACTTCAGATCGTAAAATCCGACGGTCTAAGATTCGATCCTGCGTTCGTGACGAGTAGATAAGATCGATATTTCTTTCATTCTTTTGTCTCATGTCTCAAATTATTTCTGTTTGTATCTATAGTCAATACCCGTTTATCTCACTCACTGCAATGGGTCCTCATTGACTTATTCTGTCCTCACCTTAACTCCTGTGAAAATGTAATTTGCCCCACAAGTGTGTAACAAAACAGTACACTTGGTAACACTAGCAGTATTGAAGAAGCTGATATGAGCTCATCGAACTCGAAACAGAAAATCGTGTATCATTGTTTATTTCGTGATCCATGATTCTATTTTGTAGCTATGCTGTTTCACTATTTATACGCCAAGTGAGACTGGGCCTCATACAAGATCTTTTAGGTTTTCATTTTCTTTAATCCCGAGTATAGCACAATGATATAAACATCCTACTTTTTAATATTTTTTTTACTGATGTGATAGTCGTTAAACCACTGCCTGCTTAGGTTGTAGGGCGCCGGGCTGCCGTGCGGGAGGTCGAGGGTTCAAGCGCTACAGAACAGAATTCTACCCCAATATCAGTATTTACTGAGCCCACAGTTTTATCTTACAACGCACGATGTAAACACTCAAACATCCTGCCCATTTTGTCCGTCATCGCGCGAAAAGGTATGTCTACTAAAACTGAACTCTAACAGATAATCAGTTAGAAATGATACTACAAACCACCTTGTAGATACGTAGTTTGAATATTTTCAAGTTTCGCGAGGAGGTGGAAGGACGTTCCAAATTCTTTAAAAAACCAGAATAAATAATCGTGTCGTTGGCGAGGTTTCGTTTTCATACGTGATCAAGAAATCGTAGTCATCGTGGTTCTGGGGTTAAAATTTTCACTTTTGTTGACACGTTTACCTAATTTCTCTGCTATTTCTACGTTGTGGTGGGACCCGCGAGCGAGCAAGAAAACCTGTGCTCTGATCGGCTACCAAAGAGTGCAAAATAAGTTTTCTTTTGACTCCCTCGTTGATTCTCCAAAAAAGAAAAAAAAAGAAATGCTTGTAGCCTGTTGAATACCTCGGATAATGTCGTAACTGAACAGGTTATTTTTTTCATATGAATAAAAGCTTTTCTGGTACTTTTGGTTAAAAAAGGTCACAGATTCGTCCCAAATCAAAACAAAACAAAACAAAACAAAAATCACAACGAGACTAGCAGAGTCATTTGGTAATTCCATGGTGCATGAAAATATTTTGTTATAATGTAATATATCCTTTGATTCTTTGCTGAGGAAATCTTCTTCTCGGTCCTTAAAATGTAGTGTGAGAAATTGGCCGATGTACAGCCTTCTTAGGCTCTCACTCGTTCAGGAATGTAAACGCATATAAGAGGTATTAGATAATCGCGCATGGATACGAAATTTACCATCGAGTGCTCGTGACATCTTTTACACCTTCGAAGAGATAATTCAATTCAAGCAGCTATATTTGTATCCATACATACATACATTTGGACATGTATCATCCTTTTTATTGAAAGATATTGATTGAAAATTTGCGTCAAATACAATTTTTTAAATAGGAGCATCGAAAATAGAGATCCGCTGCACTGACGCTCAGCTCGTCGGAAAACCAATTTAATTTCGGACAATGCAATACAAAAATTTCTTATTACAAGAATTATTTCCTTAAAAAAGAATTGAATTCAGCTTCAGGTAAAAAAAAACCATTAAAAAAAGCCTTCATAGAGAGTAAAACTGTCATGTTGATAAATTCGGTTCTAATGACGACCTTGATACCTTTATATGTGAAGATATAAATGGTACATTTACAGCGTGCGGTGGATGTGCATATGTCACGTTTTGGAAACTGAAAAAATTCTGGTATTTCACCGACAACCATATTACCGTTATTCTTACCATATATCGGAAATGTTACGATATCAAAAGAAACATAGGAATTGTGTATTTTTTTTCAACCTCGAGCTTTGTTTCAAACTTCGTTTGTTTCCGAGAGATATTTGCTGGTTTTGATATTGAAAAGAGCTATAATTATATACAGCACGTTATCTAGCTCTGTCACATGCTCATCACGCGCTTCTGCCGCATAATCATCACGTACAGTCAAACGTTTAACTCCCGTGATCTAATTGTTAATTCTCCCCTCTAGCGGCTACATGTTTCCTTTCAAAGTAGATACGGGAATTTAATGTTAGTTCAAAGAGAACGAATTCTACCTGATAAAACTTTGAGTATTCTCATTGCCTATTTGCTGGATAATGTATTTATATTACAGGGATAAGTTACAAGTTATATTACTTCTAGGAGTTTTAGGATTTAGGAAATTGCATCGCGTGCAAACTATTGAACCATGAATCAAATGAGAGAAATCAATGAAAAATTTCCACATCTGACAATAATAAACCGAGAAAATTCGACTAAAGTAAAGTTGATTATTGTCGGCCGCAAAAGAAAAATAAGACTGCGATCTTTCATTATAAATAACATGAGTTCTACAGCTTTAATCAGTTGCATGAAAATTGATTTGTACCTGTTAATCTGTCATCCTCTGAATCCCTCTATTCTCCAAACGATGTCATTTGTTAATTCTACATGCCTCAAAATATTGAGAATAACGTTTTGCTTTAAATCAATTTCGATGAGAAAATGAAGGTAACATATTCACGAGTTTGAAAGATCTAACCTCATCTAATGCCCAGTTTAGTGATCAAAATTGCTGTTCTTCCGAGTCTATGAGAAAGTTATTGTGCTTGTATTTTTGTTTTTTTGTTTGTTTTTTTATTCTTTTTATGATTATTACTTGTTTACATGTTTCTCCATGGCGATTAATTAATTCTGTGATTTAAATTCAGCTCTTTTCCTTTTAGTGCAAAACACTCGCAATCCAAAAAACCCCTTTTCTTCTCAGAGCAGGACATCTTACACTCTGCCATAACTGAATCGATAAGGGTGGATTCACACTGTGAGTTATATTGTACCAATGCAATTTCTCTTCAAGCGATCAACTCGATATATCCCTCGTTCAATATGACACACATTTGTTTTTGGTTATATTCCTATTAGCGTTACAGTTCTCTCAAAGTTTCATTTTCCGCTCTCACCGTAACAACTTCATAAAGTTTCTAAAAATTATAACGGAAAGCTTTTTTCTTGTAAATAACTTGATTCAGCACTAAATATTTTTGCAGTCAAAAGCGTAGGTGTCCGGGGAAATCACCAGAGGGAGATACAAAGCTAAAGAAATCACATCAATGATATGTATTCTTTATGTATATTTTTTTCCAATTTTCTCATCTTTCGATCATAACATGCTACATATTTCTCCATTATCTTTCGTCACATCCAGAATACTTGCAATAAATTTAACTCCAATCAAGTTCTTTTCCAAGAAAAATACTTTACTTCTCGTTTAATCTATAGAGAAGCATATTTAAATCATTTCGCGTCGCGGAAAGAATTAAAGCGAATACCATAAGTACTCTTCTTAAAGAAATATCCGAGGAAGATATTCAAAATTTGTTAAATCTATGTAGTCCATGCATCTTTGTGAACAGAAACCCTCAGTGTCTCCTATAGCCATTTTATGCGTAAATCGTTACTGAACCAATCTATAGTTATATGTGAGAACTTCTGATCGTAAAAAATCCGACGGTCTAAGATTCGATCCTGCGTTCGTGACGAGTAAATAAGATCGATATTTCTTTCATTCTTTTGTCTCATGTTTCAAATTATTTCTATTTGTATCTATAGTCAATACCCGTTTATCTCACTCACTGCATTAGGTCGCTATTAACTTATTCTGTCCTCACCTTAACTCCTGTGAAAATGTGACTTTCCCTGCAAGTGTGTAACAAAACGGTGCACTTCATAACACCTGCAGTATTTAAAGAAGCTGAAAATGAGCTCATCGAACTCGAAACAGAAAATCGTGTATCATTGTTTATTTCGTGATCCATGATTCTATTTTGTAGCTATGCTGTTTCACTATTTATACGCCAAGTTGAGACTGGGCCTTATACAAGATCTTTTAGGTTTTCATTTTCTTTAATCCCCAGTATAGCACAATGATATAAACATCCTACTTTTTAATATTTTTTTGCTGATGTGATAGTCGTTAAACCACTGCCTGCTTAGGTTGTAGGGCGCCGGGCTGCCGTGCGGGAGGTCGAGGGTTCAAGCGCTACAGAACAGAATTCTACCCCAATATCAGTATTTACTGAAGAAATCGTAGTCATTGAGGTTCTGGGGTTAAAATTTTTACTTTTGTTGACACGTTTACCCAATTTCTCTGCTATTTCTACGTTGTGGTGGGACCCGTGAGCGAGCAAGAAAACCTGTGCTCTGATCTGCTACCAAAGAGTACAAAATGTGTTTTCTTTTGATTCCCCAAAAAAGGAAAAAAAAAGAAATGCTTGTAGCCTGTTGAATACCTCGAATAATGTCGTAACTAAACAGTTTATTCTTGTTTTATGAATAAAAGCTTTCCTGGTATTTTTGGTTTAAAGATGAGGTCACAGATTCGTCTCAAATCAAAACAAAACAAAACAAAACAAAAATTACAACGAGACTATTAGAGTCATTTGGTAAGTCCGTGGTACATGAAAATACTTTTTTTATAATGTAAAATATCCTTTGATCCTTTGCTGAGGATGTCTTCGTCTCGGTCCTTAAAATGTAGTTAGAGAAAATTGGCCGATGTACAGCCTTCTTAGGCTCGCACTCGTTCAGGAATGCCAACCTATATATGAGATATTAGATAATCGCGCGTAGATACGCATTTTACCATCGAGTGTTCATGACATCTTTTACACCTTCCAAGAGATTATTCAATTCAAGCAGATATATTCGTATCCAAAAGTGGACATGTATCATCCTTTTTATGTAAAGATATTGACTGAAAATTTGCATCAAATACAATTTTTTAAATAGGAGCATCGAAAATAGAGATCCGCTGCATCGACACTCAGCTCGTCGGAAAACCAATTAAATTTCGGACATTGTAATGCAAAAAATTATTATTAGAAGAAGTATTTCCTTAAAAAAGAATTGAATTCAGCTTCAGGTAAAAAAAACATAAAAAAGCCTACATGGAAAGTAAAACAGTCATGTTGATAAATTCGGTCTAATGACGACCTTGATACTTTTATATGTGAAGATATAAATGGTACATTTACAGCGTGCGGTGGATATGCATATGTCACATTTTGGAAACTGAAAAAATTCTGGTATTTCACCGACAACCATATTGCCGTTATTCTTACCATATATCGGAAATGTTATGATATCAAAAGAAACGTAGGAATTGTGTATTTTTCTTTCAACCTCGAGCTTTGTTTCAAATTTCGTTTGTTTTCGAGAGATATTTGCTGGTTTTGACTTTGACAAGAGCTATGATTATATACAACACGTTATCTAGCTCTGTCACATGCTCATCACACGTTCCTGTCGCATAACGGTCAAGTACATTTAAATCTTTTACTCCCGTGATCTAATTGTTAATTCTCTCCTCTAGCGGCTACATGTTTCCTTTCAAAGTAGATACGGAAATTGGGTGTTAGTTAAAAGACAACGAATTCTACCAAATAAAACTTTGAGTACTCTCATAGCCTGTTTGCTGGATAATGTATTTATATTACAGGGATAAGTTACAAGT